AGCCACCCAGGGGTGCAAACCAAGACAGGGCAGCCAGCTCAGAGGATCTGGCAGGGGCGGAATTTCACCCACTCAGTGCTCCAATTCGGATCCTGTGCTTACCTCATGCCTCCTGCAACCCACAGTCCACGAGAGCCCTGCCAGACTGAGGACCACTGTGGGTTGTTGATGCAAATCTGAGCTGCGGCTCCCGCCGGGCACGGCAAGTTGTTGCACGGACCTGGGTGGAAGTTTGGACTAATGCCAGCAGGATGGACTGTCCCACAGAGGGAAACAGAGTTGAAAGCAGGGAAACAGGTGGTAAGGCCAGCAGGCACCACCCCCACAGAACTCAAACTGAAGCCCTCACTAGAGAGCTTGGGAGCAAATACACCAGTTTGACCCCAACCAAGCAGATCAAGCTTGGGGAAGGACAGACACTATTGGGAAGGTGGGGCCAATCTCACCTGCAAACAAACTCCAGGGAAGCACCACCCACCCAACAACCTGACAGAATCTGAGAGAGCCCAGCAATGCCTCTACAGGCCAACAAAGATATAGCTCCAACATCAGCAGTAAGGACATCCACTCAGAGACTCCTCCTGAAATCAGCAACTTCAAAGATCAAGAGAGATAAATCCATGAAGATGGGGAAAAAAAAGTGCAAAAAGGATGAAACCATCAAAGACTGGAACACCTCTTCTCCTCTAAGGGATCACAACTCCTCACCATCAAGGGAACAAAAAAAAAAAAAGAATGAATTTGACGATTTGTAGAAGCAGGCTTCAGAAGGTGGGTAATAACAAACTTCTCTGAACTAAAAGACCATGTTCTAACCCAATGCAAAGAAACTAAGAACCTTGAAAAAAGGTTAGAAGAAATGCTAACTAGAATAACCAGCTTAAAGAAGAACATAAATGACTTGATGGAGCTGAAAAACACAGCACCAGAACTTTGAGAGGCATACACAAGTTTCAACAGCTGAATCGATCAGGCAGAAGAAAGGATATCAGAACTAGAAGATCAAATCAATGAAGTAAAATGAGAAGGCAAGGTTAGAGAAAAAAGAGTGAAAAAAAAATAACAAAAAGCCTGCAGGAACTATGAGATTATGTGAAAAGACCTAATCTATGCTTGATTGGCATACCTGAATGTGACAGGGAGAATGAATCCAAGCTGGAAAACACTTCAAGGTATTATCCAAGAGAACTTCCCTGAACTAACAAGGCAGGCCAACATTCAAATCCAGGAAATACAGAGAACACCACAAAGATTTTCCTCAAGAAGAGCAACCCCAAGGCACATAGTTGTCAGATTCAATAGGGATCAAATGAAGGGAAAAATGCTAAGGGTAGCCAGAGAGAAAGGCCAAGTAACCCACAAAGGAAAGCCCATCAGACTCACAGCAGATCTCTTGGCAGAAACCCTACAAGCTAGAAGGGAGTTGGGGCCAATATTCAACATCCTAAAGAAAAGAACTTTCAACCCAGAATTTCATATCAGGCTAAACTACACTTCATAAGGGAAGAAGAAATAAAATTCTTTACAGACAAGCAATTGCTGGGAGAGTTTGTTGGTACAAGACCTGCCTTACAAGAGCTACTGAAGAAAGTACCAAGCAGGGAAAGGAACAACCAGTACCAGCAACTGCAAAAATGTACCAAATGGTAAACAACGACACAATGAAAAAACTGCATCAACTAA